TATAGCTTTTGGTCGAAGAGTAAAAATCTTTTGAATACGATGAGCTCCTTTCCAAATGTCTCGAGCTTTGCGAGCACTATTGGTTTCTTGTATTCATTCTTTAATCTGTTCCTGGTTAGCTTTATTTTCTTAAATAAGAGTTTCCAAATAATAGTAAGCTTCAAGAGTTTTGATCTGGTTTTTTCTTGACTTGGCATAAGTAGGAAGTTTTTCCAAAATATCGTCAAGTTTTTCCTTCCAAGTTGTTCCTTTGAAAGGTGAGATTCAAGAGGCTTTCTGAGGTTCAAGAGGTTGCAGGAGGTCTTCCCTTATTTTCGCAAGTGGATTTGATTCATTTAATTCTTCTTCTAAGATAGGAATCGAGTTATTAACTGATTCATCCAAACTTCCGATAAGTTGATCGATTTCATTTAAAGCTGTTTCTTCAAGCTATGGTGAAATATCGATAACTTGGTCTGGTACTTGGTCATCCTATAGTATTACATTTTGGGAAAAGATTCCTAAATTGTATTGAGCAGCAGGGTCTTGTCTCCAAATGGAAATAAAATTTTGTAAGGCCTGAATAGTATTAGGTTGCAAAATAATAGTATTCATTTTTAAATAGCCAAATTATTAATTTAGGAAAATTTGCACAGTTAGGTTGTCTATATACTGTATATATTTTAAAGTAATATGAGATTTTCAAAATGTTTTTCATTATGTTACTCCCTTCCAAATTAAATTTCTTCCAGAAATTTGCTAAGTTTCAACAACAACTATTGGTTTTCAAGTCTGTTTCTTATAATATTTTGCTAATCAATCACTATTGTAATAGTTTTGTAAGATTTTTCCTTCTTTATTTTGTAACTTATAAGTACCATTTTCTAATTTCTTATGAATTATGAATGGTCCTAGTTATTTATTCTCAAATTTTGCTAATTTTGACATTTCTAGTTCCTTTTGTTGGATTCATACTTTGTCACCTACTTTGAATTCTTGTATTTTAACTTTTGCATTGAAGTATTGTTTTTGTTTCTGTTGCGACTTATTAGTATTGTTTTTTGCATTCTCTTGCCATTGGAGCAATTTGTCTATTAGCTCATAAGCTCTATGCAGAATACTGTTTTGTAAGTTAATATCTTCACTACTTTCTGATAGTGGTTCAACAGGTATTAAAGCTTCAATCAGAAGTGTAGCTTGTCGACTATAAATTAGTTGAAATGGAGTATATCTAGTAGTAGCATGCTTCTTTGTTCGATATGCTAATAATACAGCAGGAATATGAATGTTCCAATCATCTGTTCCTTTTACTTTAGCAAGTGATTCACAGAGTGTTCAGTTAAATCTTTTAACCATGTTATTTGTTTGTAGATGGTATGGTGATAAGAATTTATATTTAATTAGAAACCTTTTACATAATATGTAGATAGTTTTGCTAATAAAGTTTCGTTCTTGGTCAGATAAAATAATTTTTGAAGTTCCATGTTTACAAACTATTTCTTCAAAAATAAATTATGCTAGTGTAGCAGCACCAGCATCAGGCATAGCTCAGGCTTCTAGCTATCATGTTAAGTATTTAGTAGCAACAATTATATAGCAATTATTTTGTTTAATAAGAGGGAAAGGTCTTACTAAATCAATACCAATTTATTTAAAGCTTATCCTATTTAAATAGGATGAAGAAGTTCCTTTCTTCATCCTTTTTGATATTGTTAACATTCTGTACAAGTACAAACATATTCTTATACATCTTTATACATTTGGTTCTAATAATATCATTCAGCAATCTTATAGTACATGGCATCTGTTTCTAAATGTCTAGCAGTAGGATATTTATACATTATATATAGGATAGATTCTACTTCAGTCTATTTAATAACTCTAAGAGGATGAGTAAGGTCTTTTCTATTTTTTTTATACAATAGTTCATGCTTTGTTTCAAAATGTCTGTCTTGTCAAATTAGTTGTTTTTCTTCTATGTTTGTCAATTCTTCAGACAATATGTCTGATTCTAAATAGTTATATAAGTTAATATATTGATCTAAATTCATTGGAATGGTATTGGTAATGTCTAAGTTGGCAGCCTTGAGAGTGCATCTACATTGAAATGAACTCAGCCTAGTTTATGAATAATTTCAAAATTATAAGGTTGTAATTTAAGTATTCATCTTCTAATTCATCTTTTAGGTTCAGCTATCCTTAACTATTTAAGATCATAATGGTTAGTAATAAGGATAAACTTTGCAGTTCCTAGGTATTTATAAAAATGTTTGATTGCCAAAACTATGGCAATGCATTCTAATTTAGTAGCACCATAGTTCATTTCTTCTTTTCAAAAACTTTTACTTGCATAAGCAATTTGATGTTCTCTTTCATCTCTTCCTATTTGACTAAGTGTAGCACCAAAGTTATAATAAGAAGCATCAGTAGCTAATATGAAAGGGTACTTGAAATTAGGATAAGCTAGGATAGGAGCAATGGTTAGTCTTCTTTTTAATTCATCAAA